CTTGACAAAGCCCTGGCCGGGTTGATTTAGTTGGGACTGGTCCTGCCTAGAGCAGGGGGCTGGACTTGATGACCTTCTGAGGTCTCTTCCAGTTCTATGGGTCTATGATAAGCCCATGTGTGGGACTTGAAGCCTGGCCAACAGAAGTGGCAGGAACAGGGTTAATGGTGTAAAGCTCTAATTGGTATTAGGCATGGGTTGGAAGCACACCTCTAGGGATGGAGACTCCACTACTTCCCTAGGTAACCCATTCCAGTGCTTCACTACTCTCCTAGTGAAATAGTTTTTCCTAATATCCAACCTGGACCTCTCCCGAGTCTCCATCCCTAGAGGTGTTTAAGTCTTGGCTTGACAAAGCCCTGGCTGGGTTGATTTAGTTGCAATTGGTCCTGCCTAGAGCAGGGGGCTGGACTTGATGGCCTTCTGAGTTCTCTTCCAGCTCTATGGTTCTATGATTCTATGTAGGTCAAGGAAGACTGACAATTAGCTGCACAGAGACAAGCTCTGGGAAGAAGGGCAGGGTCCTCTTGACTAATCCTCAGGTGATCCTGATTTTAAGTTCACAGTTATTCCTTTAATTTGGACTCTGCTATCCTGGAAGGGGTGGGACTCAAAGAGGCGATAGCGAGAGGGGCAGCATTTAACAATGGGGTCCTGCAGCTGGGTGCACATGGGATGAGGGTTGCCAACTAACCTGATTCCTGGGCCCAAACCTACCACCCTTATTTTATTGTAGCCACAGACACACACACATAGATGATAGGCTCCTTTTCCAACTAAGCTTACAATGTAAATAGTAGATTTACTATTGTCTTCCATGCAATTATTTCATGAATCATATGAACAAGAATTGCACAGTCAGGCCCTCAGTCTCTTCTGACAAGGGAAACAATTCAGCTGATTGAAACATCTGTAAAATCACAACTAGAAACAATTGGCCACTCAAGGGGACATTTCAATTATGCAGAATTCTACTCACAAGCTGCAGACACCAATCCGGCCCAAACTGTCTATATATAAAAGCATACACAGATGAATGATAAGATTGCCTAGAGTTAATAGTGTGAGATTGGGAGGCCAGATGTTGTGTTCTGTTTCTGGCAGTCCCTGATTTGCCAAGTAGCTTTGGGGCAACTCACTGTCTCCATTTACCTGTACATAAAATGGGTACAACAAGCAGCTACTCAGTTATGTTGAGGAAAATATCTCAATATATTGACTATATTTTGACTAAATAAAACATGAACACAGTGGGCAAGACTGATTGCAGGTGTATTCAGCGGAGCTCCTGACCTAGCATAATGTTGGCTTGTCATCAATCTCATGATCATGGGGCATGATGAGAAGACGGTAGTAGTAGTGAATTTGCCAGGTGCTCCCTCCTCTGCTTCTACTCTATGAAAAGGCTCGGAGCTCTTTAGAGATAACAATTGAAGAAAGACAGGCACTTTATCCTGTAATACTGATACCATTTAAATGCCAACGAAGACAGCCTCCTCTTCCTCACTGGAGGGAATTTGATAGTCACTTAATGTTATTTATCTCGCTCTATGAATACTGCATGCACACACGCACACAAATTCCGAGAGGAAAAGCAGGACAATTGCACAACCCTGCTTCATCGTGCCCTTCATTTCTCTATCATACATATTTTGAAAGGCTTCACAAATAACCATAATCTTGTTATCTTTTAATGCCTTCCTTATCTGATCATCAAATTTCATTCTGCTGTCTGTCCTGCAGTGAAGTGTATAGTGTTCTAATATTATAAGTCCTCTAATCCTTCTGTTATTTCAACGCAAATTGATTCATTATGGCTCTCTTGTGCTGACAAGTATAATTCCTTTCACTATACATTTTCACTGATATACAAAACGACACCTCCAACTTCCTTTCTCCTCTCTCACTCAGGTGGCATTGAAATCTGAATTCATTCAGGTCTTTCACACTGTTGTGACTCTTGCTTTTTGCATAACACTATCTCACTTTTTAACTTATATTTCAGAGTTTCAAGTGTTTTACCTGATATATCTGACCTTGCCAGAATCTAGACAAGCAAAAGCATTGGATTAGGTTCTGGCCTACTTAGGGGAGAGGTAATGTGATACAGAATCTTTCATCCAGATGACCCAATTCTGGAAAGTACTCCTGTTCAGGACAGTACTTACACATGTTTAACTTTAAGCATCTGCTTTAGTCCGACTGAAATCCACATTTTGGAGATGACACAAAATCGGTTAAGTTAGTGAAGACTGTGAGGTACTTCAGAGGGATTAATGAAGTTGGTGAACACCACAAAGCAGATAAAATTCAACACACAGGATAATGCACATTTAAGGATTACTCTGAATTACTCCTTCACATTAGTAGGTTCTATATTAACTGTAAGGCTGTGTCTAGACTATATGGCTCCATCGATGGAGCCATGTAGATTAGACAGATAGGCAAAGGCAAATAAAGCCACGATTTAAATGATCGCGGCTTCATTTAAATTTACATGGCTGCCGCGCTGAGCCGACAAACAGCTGATCAGCTGTTTGTCCGCTCAGCGCACTGGTCTGGAAGCTCCCCTGCCAACATCAAAGCCCTTTGTCGGCAGCCCTGTTATTCCTCGTGGGATGAGGTTTACCGGGGCTGCCGACAAAGGGCTTTGATGTCGGCAGGGGAGCGTCCAGACTAGCGCGGTGAGCGGACAAACAGTTGATCAGCTGTTTGTCGGCTCAGCGCGGCAGCCATGTAAATGTAAATGAAGCCGCGATCATTTAAATCGCGTCTTCATTTGCCTTTGCAAAAAAACCAAATCTACATGGCTCCGTCAACGGAGCCATGTAGTTTAGACGTACCCTAACTGTGAAGGACAAAGACATGGGGATCATTGTAGATAGCTTAATGAAGATCTGTACTTAATATACAGTAGTGTTCAAAGGTCCCCACGATATTGAGAATTGTAAAGAACAGCAGAGAAAATACTGAAAACGTAATACAAATTGACGGCTTGCTCACACCTGGAATAATGTTTTGTTCTGGCCACCATATCTTCAAAAGATATAGCAGAAATAAAGAGTTCAGAGACAGATGATTAAAATTGCAATGATTTGTATATGAGAAAAAATTGAAAGACTCAGACTTTAGAGAGGAAATAGGTAAGAGGGGACATGAAGGATATAAACAAAATAATGAATGGTGCAGAGAATAAAAAAAGGGTAAGTGAGAAATTACCCTTTCTCATAATAAGAATCAGAGGGCATACAATCAGATTGAAAGTTAGCATATTTAAATTGATAAAATTACACACACACACTAAACCTGTGGAATGCACTGCCACTAGACATAATTATGGCAAAGTACTTAATTAGATTCAACAATATATTATATTTATATGGATGGCATAAGCTGACTTCTAAATGTCAGAGGGTTAGAAAAATACTACTTCTACGGGCAAATTTTCCTATAAAATTGTTCAGTATACGTTTTTTTACACCTCCCTTCAAAGCACCTGGTGCTAACCAGTATCAAGAGACAAGATATTACCCAGATCTAATCAGGAATAGCATTCCTATGTAACTATCTGTGGTACTGCATCTCTGTTAAAACAACAATTTTCCTCCTTTAATTTAGTCTCACACAGGCCATAGGTACATCACACATCAGAGGAATGTTAAAATAATGACCTGATAGAATAATTCTGCTCTGAGAAAGGACATGAGATGGTGTTACGATGCCATCCAGTGGTGCTGTGTCATTGATGCTTCTTGCATGCATAATGAATGACATGATGAGCCAGCCAACAGGAAGTAGGAGTATAAGCCTAGTTCCAGATGAGTGGAGCCATGTGTAGGATGTAGTCTTGAGGTTCCAAGAAGTGCCAGAGAAGTCAGATGACTGCAGCATTGTACACCTGCTGACACAGAGGAAATTGTGACTATGAAGCAGTATAACATACAGCAGCAAATGTCTAAATAAAAGAAATAAGAAGAGGTACAGCAAGCTAGGAAGCACTGCAGCAGAGGATCATTTGCTTCCCTCAGCATAGGCCCAGAGGTTGACCTGAGGTAGACAGGTGTATATCTGAATTAATTCTAATGGAGTTACTCCAGATAAACACCAGTATACTAGCCATCATGCTGCTAACTCACTTAGGCCTTTAGTCCCCTCCCCCACTTCAAACAGTCACATAATCCCTGAAAGATTTAAGGTAACACTGATTGGAGGGAAATACTGGCAGAAAAGGAAATTAATGTTCATATTGTAGGTCAGGACAACAATCCCTAAAACATGTTAAATCAGTCAGATGGTTTAATTGTAGGTGACTTTGATACAGAAGCCATGTAAGTGATAGAGCCCTTCTATTGACTGTTAGAACAGTTATACAAGTATGATTGTCGTCATGCTCCAGTACTTAAACAATAGTGGGATTTTAAAAAGGATTGACAAAGCTGATTTTCAGGAGGGGTAGGAGAGAGAGAGAGAAATACGGAGCTGCATTTATGCATTTTATGAGAAAAATTGCATAGCTGGTTTAAAAATGTCTTTTGTGTGTGTGTGTGTCCTTGATACTGGTGCTGTGCTTCTTGGAGCAACAGATGACAGTATTCTTCTATCCAACATTATCGTCCCAAGACATGAAAAAAGGCAAGACCTTCTTGAAGAACAAAGACACAATTTAAAGTTGGTCTTGGGAAGAAGTGAATCACCATGCAGATGTCATACAAAAGTCAAATACTTAAACTTTTGTAAGGATATTACAAACAATAAAATATTGGTTGAGGGTTAAGCACCAAACCCAGCAACCTGACATTTTTCAGATTTAAATGGCAAACCCAGCAGGTGGTTGTCTTCAACACCCTGAACTTGATCTTGACTCCTAATTTTAAATTATTTCAATGCATAATCCCCAACTGTGCAACACGATGGTTGAGGCATCTCATTATTTTAAGGCCAGTGCTTTCTTTCAACTAATAATCTCTGGGAAAATCACCATAGCTTATATCAGCCTTTCTTTTTTGCTTTGAAGAACAATATCAAATTTTCAGAAATATAAAAACAACAGGGAAATACATTAACAGTGTTTGTTTGTTTGTTTGTTTGTTTGTTTGTTTGTTTGTTTGTTTAAAAAAGCCCAGTCAACCACCCTTTTCCAAAATGCCATTGTTGGCCAACACTGAAGATAAAAATTCAGACATCCCAAAGGTCTTGTAGATCAGTGATGAGTCTTTCCCACAGGGGCCAGAATGATGTCAGTCCTTGTTGCGGAGTTCTAAGAAACCATAAGAGGACAAAGCCCCACAAAGTGCCTGAGATTCAGAGATGCAGGACTGATGTCAAATCATTTCTGATAATAGTGGCTCACATCAGCGTCTTCAGATTCTTATATGGAAGGTACTGCAAAGAAGGGAAAAAAAGATTAAGAGGCATCAACACTTGTCATTATACAAGGGATTTTCTCAAAGAGCTCATTTTAATGGAGAAAAGTGGGAAGGGATCATTTGATACCGGTCCATCATGACCTTTATCTAAATATGAAAGGAGGTGATCTGAGCCAACTGTACAGTGCTATATATGAAAGGGAAATCCCTTCCTGACTCTGTGGAAATCAGTTTATACCCCGAAGCAGAAGGGTAGATTTTCCTTAATGTAGAACTTCTAATGACTGAAGGGATTAGGTGCCAAAATGATGACTGAATAATGGGATTAAGAAGTGTCTGATCTGTTACAAGTTTCTACAAGTTTGAGAAATATTCCCTATACTTAAAATAGGGTGGTTTACTGAAACTGTTTTAGAAATGACCCTCATAGAAAAACAGTGAGAACTGGTGCTGACCACAAAACTAGTGGTCAGCAAAACTTTTAAACTTTTAAACTTTTAAACAAAACTTTTAAAATCCAGACACAAGATTTGACTTGCCGACAGCCTGCAGTAAGGGTTTCCTGTTTACATTTTCAATCAGTATGTGACAGGAGAGTAATTCACAGCACAAACCTACAGTTTATCTATAGATGGCCATGAAGAAGAAAGTTGGGATTAGGATACAAACTCTTTCAAAGATTGGGCCTGTCTGGGTACAGGGGGAATTAGGTCTCTCAGACATTGGCCTGCGTAGAAAGCTTAGCTTTGGATATTGAAAGTTTAGTGGCAGAAAGTTTTGAGATCTGCTGTTTGGATCACTAATCATTGTTTGTCAGAAGAGGGGTGTTAATGTGCAAACTGTATGCAGTTAATTGTAGTGGCTATTTTCCTTTTTCAAAAAAGCACTCAAGCATCTGTTGAAGTCTTATTTTGCTCAAACATGTGCTAAAGTGCTTTGCTTGGTCATTAACGACTGCCAGCAAGAAGACCCAGAATGCTGCAGTAGGACACTATTTTTTTTACCTGCTGGAAGGAGGCTTTTCTAGGAAAAGCTGTGTTGAATGTCACATCGCCTTTCCTCTTTCTGCAGCTCAGTCAAGAAACAATGGGCTGGATTCATCCCAAGTACAATTTCAGTAAGTCTCTGCTCACTAGGCTCCTTTCTGCTTGCAAAGGTGTGTGAGTTTGGTCCTGGGGGGATAGTCTGGCAGTTCTGCAGAATGCTGATCCAACAGTTTTTATTTGCGACAATCTCAGTGGATCAGTTTTAGTTAGATCCTTTAGTTGGCTAATACTCAGCATTAGGGGGACTAGTATTATCCTCTTTGGCTCGACTACAATACAGCATATTAACTCATGTGCCACTAAACAGTATACAACTCCACAAAACAATCTACCAGAGCTATTGATGATTAAACATGTGGCACATTGAGCCATAGCCTGGTGCAGCACTGTGTCTTGCTTTCTGACAGCATGGCTAACAAAAAGGTTTGAGAGGCGCTGTGTCACCGCTCCCCCCCCCTCCCGCTTTATGAAAATTGGTTTATACATAAACCAACACATATACATAACTCAAAGATGTTTTATGCAAAAAAGTCATGTAACCTATCCATTTTACAGTTACAATCTGCTGAATCTGTATATCTTATTTTGTGCATGTATCATTCTTGTATGTGAAGTTAGAACTATGAAGTGTGGATCTGTTTATAATTCTAAATGTGCTAATGAAGGTCATTAGAGATACTTCAGGAATTTAATGACACAGTACTCAAACCAACAATCTGTGAATGGTCATGTTTGTCCTATAAGTCCAAATTGTGATTGGTCCTAGAAAGAAATGTGACCCTGCCTCCTGGTACTGGAATCCATCTTTCATCTGGTATTTTTCCATAAGGATGGTGGGTGCTGAACAAAAGGTTCCCACTCTGGGGAAAAGTCTATTTAAACAATGGGAAGCAATCAACCTTGTGTCTTCAGCTGGCCTTTGAAACTGCCAGCCCCACCCTAAGAGGATACCTGACAGCAAAGACTTCTGAAAAAGCTATAAACCCAGGCCAGAGGAAGGAGCAACTCTGACTTGAAGTTTTTTTTACCTGTGATGAGAACAGCTGTTTAGAATAAGAATTTGCATGTAACAAGTTTTTTAGTGGATTAGAACTAGCTGGACTAGAACTACAACTTTGTTTTGATTTAGTAACTTATTTTGAATTGACTTGTTTTTTCTTGCAATCCTATTTTTTGTAGTTAATAAAAAAAAACTTTTGTTTATTATCAAGCCAAGTGTAACAGGGAGGGGAGCAATCATTGTGCTTCTATCACTCTCTTTCATTGCTAAAGTAGGCGGACCTTATGAGCTTTCTTTGTGTAAAACTTCTATACAGGGTAACACAGATTTATTTGGGATCCTGGTCATTTTTGGGGATTGTTTTCCTGAGTGCTGAGCCCTTCTGGAACTGAACTGATTCAGCATCTGTGTTGCTGTGTTCCAGGGGGCAGTAATCCCAACTCTGTGCTTTGGCCGGGACAGACTGGCAATCAAAATAGGCCTGGGAAATGGGTTGAGAACGGCCCACTTTTTCACATCAAAGAATTTTTTTTAAATTTACTTTGACCCCCATTAACCGCACCCTGACCCTTGTTAACCATGCCCCTGACTCCCATTAGCCAGGCCTCTGGAGGTAACACTCTCAGGGCAAGATGGACATGACCAGAAATAAAAGGTGTCATGTGACCCCTCTAAGGACTTTTCCCACCATCCTCCTACCAATAGGGATTAGTCTGGCCCCCACCAAGCCCCCCTCATGCAACTATCCTGCAATTGCATTGGCCCAATGTGTGTGACATTAACTCGGAGGCGGAGAGGCTGGGGGAAGTGTTCCCTCTAAGCAGAATGAATTTTGTGTTGTGCACCAGCACTGAGTTCATGTGGCTTGATTGGATGTATCACTGTGGCACCCAAGTTATTAATAAATATTTTATAAACCTTTACCTTCTTCCTGCTGCCATTCTCGACCTTTTCGCTCTGCTGCCATGTCGCCTCCCCTTGCTCCATCAGCTCCCCTGGTGCCTGCTGCGCCCCAACCCTCCACCCGCCTCTGCTGTGCCACTGTGGCACCCAAGTTATGAATAAATATCTTATAAATCTCGACCTTTTCGCTCTGCTGCCATGTCGCCTCCCCTTGCTCCATCAGCTCCCCTGGTGCCTGCTGCCCCCCAACCTTTCACCCGCCTCTGCTGTCTGGACTCGAACTCCTGCCCTTCTCACTGCCCTCAGCCCTCCTGAGACCTGCCCCCTTCCACCAGCCCTTCTCTCTCCCCTGTGCCCACTCCTCCAGTAGCCCCACTCTGATCATGTGAGCTACCCCTCCTCATCCCCTCTTCTAACACCTCCCTCTACACACCTGCCCTGCCTCTCTCCTCTGGTGCTGGTCCCTCCCCTGCAGGTGTCTGCCCTTCTGCTTCACCCCCAGAATCCCCTGGCACCTGCACCTTCCCTTACCCCTGCACCCTCCTCGTGCCTCCCCCTTCCCTCACTGCTCCTGCCCCCTTTGCCCTCTTTTTCCGATGCCCACCCCCTCACCATCCTCTTCCCCCGTTCCCCTCATGCCCCTGTGCCCTCACACATGACTTGCTCCATCCCCACCTTCCTCATGTCCACCCCTTCTTTCAAGCCTTATCCCAGCACCTCCCCCTCTAGCCCCCAATGCCCTTACCCTCTCGTCTCCCAGCATCACCCTGTCCCCCCTCCCACTGACACCTCCCCTCCTGCCCTTTCCTCATTGTTTCCACTTGGCCCCCTGGCATTTGTCTCTCCTCCATCCTGTCCCTTGGTGCCTTCCCCTTTCATCTCCTGACCTGCTCCCTTCCCCTCAGCACAAGCCCCTTCCTCCTATTTCCCACCGCTCCGCCCCTTCCCACCTACCTTCTGTCTTCCAGTTTACCGCTCCACCCCTTCCCACCTACCTTCTGTCTTCCAGTTTGCGGGGCTGGAGTCTGTGATCAGGCTCCAGCTACTTTCGGGGCTCCAGACCACGAGCTGGGCCACGTGGTGCAACTCTGGGCCGTGCGCTTTTAAAGTCCCGGGCTGTGACGTCACGCCACGCCCGGGTGTCTCCCCTCTTACCTGTTGCATGGAATTTGAGCACGCCGCACATGTGCTCCCTCGGCCCCACCATGCCCCGTACATGGCCGGTGCGCGGCACCAGGGAATTTAAAGTGCGGGGCTGTGGCACAATCCCCCTCCTCCTCCAGCAGCCTCCAGCCATCCCTTTGGCCGGCCCTTCGGAGGACGGCCCACCGGGAAATTCCCGGTGTCCCACCGGGCCAGTCCATCCCTGGATTTGGCTGGGGTGAAACCAAGCTTCTGGCACATCAGGACAGGGCAGTAGGGAGCCCCAAAGGGCAGAAAGGCTGATGTCAGTGGCATGATCAGCTCACTGGGGAACAATCCCAAGGAGACTTTGGTGATCAAATCCTTCACATTCTGTATTATTCAAATCCCTGCCCTTCTTCAACAGATGCAGAGAGATACACAGACTGTATGGATTGGGGGACGGGATAGAAAAGGACAAGATTTTGGGAGGCATAGAGCTAAACTTGGCCACTCTATTGCTCGTAGTTTCCTGCCAATCATGCATGGCCCAAGGAAGATGCAAGAACAGAGCTGGTGGGCTCACCACTACAATATGAGCTTCTGCAGCCTCAGGCCAGTAATAATAATGCCTAGCTTATACCATATGACACTTTTTATCAGAGGTTCTCAAATGGCTTTACAAAAGGAGGTTGGTTTCATTATCCCCATTTTGCAGATGAGGAAATTGAGGCATGGAGAAATAAAAATGACATTCCTAAGGTATTCCAGCAGGCTAGTGTCACTCAGGTCTCCTGACTCACAAGCCAGGGCTTTTCTATACTAGGCCACATTGTTTAATAAAGATGAGATGGCCTAGTGTAAAAACCTCTCATGGCCTCTACATCAAAACCCAGCTACTCAAACTGTGTGCCAGATGTCGGTATGTGGGACATAGTGATGCTA